GCACTATTCTCTCACTGTCGAGACAGGAGAGATCAAAGAAGACTGAGCGAGAGTGAGAAGGATGCTTGCGTTTGTATATTATTATATTATATAAATTTCAATTTCAATATATTAATCATTTAATTTTCATTTAATTTTCATTATATTATAATTTAAAAACAAACAAAAATCTGAAATCTTGGCTGAAATAAGTTTAATTTAAAGTAATAAAATGACTAAAATTAAAACTGATATTTAAAAAAAATAATGCTTCATAGAAATACTTTTTAAAGAAATACTTGTAAATAAAATTTACAAAAGCACATCACAAAATTACTAAAACTAAAATGAAAACTGAAAATATAAAAAAGTCCATTCAAAATATTAATAAATACTGTAATATTACTGTATATCAATAATACTAAAATAACACTGCCTGTATCTGGTAAATAATACATTTATGTTAATAATACATAAAAAATAATATAAAAATACATAATTAAAAATGCATAATGCAATATGATGTATAAATAATATAATTAAATACATCATATAAAATAGGTATTTACAGAATTTGACAGTGTTGTGCTGCTTTCTAAAGGCTAGTGAGAAATCATAATATCAATCACAATTATTGAATTTAGTTTACAGCCAGTTTTATGTTTCTAACTATTCTAATTGTGGGAAGAAAAAATGTCAACTTAATAGAAACAAAATATTGTCCAGATAATAAAATATATCTAAAATATATAGTTGCATATATTTATTTATTTATTAGAAAGGTGATATGTCGTAAATTATATTTTTCATCAAATTAGATCAAATATCAAAGTGGCATTTTTTAAAGACGAGTATAAAAACATTTTTTAATGAAATTATTTCACAAAATGATTTTTAAATGGGTCTTCAGTTGCCCATTTTCCACAAGTTGATTTGATTCTTTAGGGTCTTAATGAAAAGTCTATAACATACTTTGGTTAAAATTTCTCAATGGTAGTGTAAAACAACACCCTTTTAACCCTGTCAAAAACAGCTCTGCACACAGCAACCGGTTTTGGTGCATGTTTCTTTAAATGCTAATGAGCTCTGCTCACCCCGCCCCTCTCTTCTGTGCTCTGAGAGACTGTTTACTTTAGCCGTGGAACTTGCTAACTAGCACGTTATTAGGAAAGGCAATTAGCAAAGATTCATAAAAAAACCTGGTACTCACTTCTTCTGTAGGTGAGGCTGGATCACGAATGATTCGCGCGAACATAAACGCATTTAGGTAGATGGGGTTCAAAAACAAAGGTAATCCTCTGTGTCTTCAGCGGCTCAGATGTCAAGAGTAAATAACGACTGCTATCTTCATTATTACATCCAATAACAAAACACCTCAATCGCTTAGGAGTCATTCTTGTCTACATAGGTAAAACACCAGTGTCAATCAACAATCGTGGGAGGGGCTTGGGTCTGTGTGATGTCACACAACCAAGAAGCTGAGAACGGCTTGATTTGAGAAAGGGGATATTATTTATAGGGATTAAAAAAAAACACTGAGTGGATTTTTATCATTATAGGGTGGATGTGTGCAAACACTGCCAACACACATTTATGTTCAAACAACATGTAAAAGGGAATTTTGCATCCGATGACCCCTTTAAGTTTCAAAAGATTAGACAATATATAACAAAACAAAACCAAAGTGAATAGTTTTCACACACGGCTGGTTAGGGGTTGGAGGGAGTTTATATGGAAGAGGAATTTCAGTAACCTTAGCAGAGATGGAGGAGCGCAACATAATTAGCCTTTGAGATCTCAGACTGCACTGAGGAGGAACTGAGGAGAGATATCTGGGGGTCATTCAGCAGAGGACGGGTCTCTGACCAGCTGGTTTGAAGTTCACAGGGTTGAAAGGTGCTGATCCTGAGGGGATCCTCTCATTATATCATCACAGGCTGTGGGAGAATGTCCAGGGATCTGTTTGGGTTAGTGTGTTTGTATGAGGTGCAGGATGTACTGAGGCTCTGTGAGTGGTTTGGAGGCCATGCAGCTCATTTTGGGTAACTTTAGGGTAACAGTTGGAATCTGGGTGGGAATGGTGTAGGTTGGGTTTAAACAAAGGGGAAGGACTGGCTTTGAGGAGGGGGTGGAATTAAGTTGAAGAGAGCTTAAAAAGAGTGAAGTGATTCATGATGATTCCAGCACGATTGAAAACGAAGAAAAACCTTGTCTTTTTCTGCTCTTGGACACACTCTTAAGATTGCAGCCCAAATCGTTTTCCCCTCAAGTGTCAGATTTATTGTTGAGTGAACAGCTAAAATCACTCTGAATCTGACATTTTAAATTCTGAAAATGGAAATGGATATGTGATTTTTATTTTTTTTGTGCAATTTGACTTCAGTTTGAAGAGTCAGGTTGAAATTTAGGCAATTTTATGTCATTTAGATATGAAACAACAGAATCAGTGTGATGAAACAGTCACACAAGAAATTCAGATTTGAGCAGGTAATTATAATTGTGCACAATGCCTCTCAGAGTAAGTTGAGCCTGAATGTCCTCAAACACTGGACCAGTATAAACACTTTTGTACAATTAGTTGCTTGTTGTTTTTTGTCATAGTTGGAGTTTGTTTACATTAAGGACTGATTGTTGTGCCCTGCAGCAGAGCCACAGTGCAGTTAGAGATCTGGATTGGCTGCAGGAACATACTTTATAAGAAGCGCTGAAGCAGAAATACCTGATAGCCACGTTAGTGGAACCATGTGCGTAAGCACTCGCAGAGAGCCGCCCTGGAAACTGTTACTCTCAGGGAGTCACGCTATCCCTCTTTCTCCTCTTTCTCAAACTTTATGTTTAATCTCATTCAAGGCACTGTTTTATCCAAGTACTCTGCTATTAATATTAATATCCACATTCTCAGCTGTGACAGAGAAATTCCTGTTGCCATGTCAGTATGCACCTGGATTTATTTAGAGGAACGGAGCAGAATCTACCCTCCAACCTTTTAGACAAGAAGTGTCTATCCTAGAGCATTCAAGGTACTCCAGGGGGCCCATGGTGAATATATGTAACATAAAATATTTTTTTAACTTTTTAAATTGATTATATTATATTATATTATATTATGTTATATGTTATGTTATGTTATGTTATGTTATATTTGGACCATATACTTATATAAAAGAAGCCAACTAGTGGTCAGCATACAGGTGAACTCCTGCAATACTGTTTAAAAAGCATCACAGGATGAACCTCATGCAGTTGGTTGAGTAGAAATCCAAAGGAAAAATGAGGATTGTGTCTTCAGCTGCTTCTTGAAAGAAGTGATCTCAGCAGTGGAGATTGGCAGCTCATTTTACCAGAGAGGAACAGATAGGGTGAAAGTTTTGGAGAGTGACTTTGTGCCTCGGTGTGAAGGAACAAAAAGGCATCTCTTATTAAGTTGCTGGCAGGAGAGAGTATACACTTGTAGGAGTGAATTAAGGTAGGGATGTACAGTTCCAGTAGTTAGAAAAATATTAATAATAAGGGTTAAATAGGTCCATATTGGTTTATTAAGGCCATAAGATCATCAGGTATTCACCCAAATATGAATTCTTCCCCACAGACGGTAATGGTACATGGTAAAATGGTATGATGGACAGGAAGGGAAGGTTGAGACAACAGAAACGTTGTCCTCCCATGCTTAAGTCTGCTACTTTGACATCATCAGAATTCAAACCTCAGCTAAAATGGCATGTGGGGGGCTGCATGTGGATGAGTGAACAGAACAAGGAATGTCTTATGAGAAGTCTGAGTCAGACTGGCACTGGCTTTCTCTTTGCCTGTCTGTCCCGGTGGCAGAGAGGTCACTGGGATGGGAGTGCAGTCTGATCTCTCCTGGCGACTCAAGACTGTGTTCCTCCTGCATGTGGCTCTTTGAAGTGCATTGGGAGTGTGTTCAGAAGTGCACTGAGGGTGTGTGTAATTGATTGGACTAGCAGGCTCTTTGCAGATTATTCCACATGGTCAGACTGCTCTTAGCACACTGCAGCAGGCTAAATATATACCCCTCAATGCCCATCCGAGAATTAAACTCTAACACTGATTCACAAACACATAACTCACTGCTAATGCTTGCTTATCTGTTTTTAATTGAGCTGTTACATTGCTCATTCATTTTATGCTGTGCTAACTAAGGGCTGTACAGTTATGGCATGTAATAGTAGAACATTATTAAGGAAAAGTGTCTTTGGTGAGATGGACAAGTATGTTAGTGCCCACTAGTATCAAAGTTTAAAGGATGCTGTTCAATCCCTGCAAAGGGCACCATTACCATTTTGCCCTTGTAAGCATTTTTTTTATTGATTATATTTATATTATAATTACATAATAATAATAATAATAATAATACATGAACAGCCCTAGGATCTGTAATTAGCAAATTCCTATGTAAACAGTAAACTGTGGTGGGACATATCATCCTTTTGTTTAAATGACCAATAGCCTTTGTCCAACTACTAAAAATTTTAAAATTAAATCACAACCTGCAGTTCAAATGGGATGGGGAAAAAGAGTAGAAATGGCAGTTATTGTGATTGCTATATATATATATATATATACATATATATATAATTGCTAACTAATTAGTAATTATATACTAATAATATATTAGATGACATGACAATGTTTTTTTACAGTGTACAATATAGATGGTCTCAAAAAAAACAGACATTGACTAAAGGCTACGGAAGTTGAATTTTGATATCATGTGGTCTTTAACCACAGATTGCTGTAATAACTCAAGGCACTTAAATTCAAAAACCTGTAATAAGACCATGATCTCATTCTGTGGCAATATTGTGTAAAGTTACAGGGAGAAATTTCACCACTTTGGTCAAGTGGCCATGTCTAAAGATTCAAATTTCTTTTGTGTTTGAAATCAAAAACTGTGCAATTATATGACCTAAAATTATATGATCCATTTTAAAGGTTACATGACAATCAGCCCATCTAGACAGTAATCTTAATTCCTTGTCTTCCTGTTTTTCTGTCCTCAGAGTGTGTGTCCTGGGTGTGTGTTCGCCATGGCTCTAGTTCAGGCACTGCCTGTGCCCACTGATCACCCCAAACCCAGCGCTGACATTCAGCAGTGCTGCTCAGTGTCTCACTCCGCCACTGTAGCCGCGACAGGCACCATGGGCTCTGTCAGCAGCCTCATCTCTGGACGTACCTACCAGGAGCGTCACTGCCGAGCTGCCAGCGACTTTGGCGGCAAGTATCGCAAACCCACACCAGCTACGAGCTGCTTCAGACAGCAAGAGGGCACGCTGCGCAGCGCCAGCTCACAGGAGCAGCTTCTCACCAGCCAGCCTCCTCTACCAGCTAAGAACAGGTCCTCTGCCCTCATCTCTGCTGGCAATGGCAACTATGGCTATTTGAGTGACGAACCAGTGGGCGACTGGAATGATAATCATGTGACCACGTGCAGCCCGTCCAGTGATACCGAAGAGCCTCCTGATAACAGAGGCATGAATGGTAACATTGGTGGCCCTCCTCCCAAACTCGTCCCAGTGTCAGGCAGGCTGGAAAAGGTGAGTCTGGGGGTGTTTGCGAGGTACACATAAAAGAAAAATCCTTATAGATCAAACAAGAATAAGCACAAGTGCTTTAAAAGTAGTACAGGCTACACATTTATTGTTTTTAACTAGACCATTTATTTTAGTAACTAATTCAAAATTCTGCCCATTGTTATACTGTCAAGGTCTCATTCATTTGTTTTACTGTAAAGAACAGTAGTTTTGCTGATGCTCATTACACACAGTGGGCAGTACATCTAATTGGCTATTCATTTCTATTGATCGAAGAGAGCCTTTAATCACTGCAATATGTCAATATGCCATCACTTACTGTACACATTTATTCAATGACACCTCAGTTACACCTTTAACCAAAATAGTGGTTGCTGTTGTTGGCTTCATGCTTTATTATGTAAATACATAACAATTCAAAAGTTTGGGGTCAGCCAGATTTTTTATTGAAAAAATAATTATTCAGCAAAGACACAATAAGGACAGTAAAGACATTTATAATGTTACAAAAAAGTTCTTTTAACTTTATATTCAACAAGAATTCTTAAAATTAAAAGCATGGTTTCTATAAAGAAATGGATAATGACATTGATAATAAGAAATGTTCCTTGAGCATCAGATCGTCCTATTAGAGTGATTTCTGAAGGATCATGTGACACTAAAGGCTGGAGTAATGGATACTAAAAATTCAGCTTTTCCATCACAGGAGTAAATTATATTTTAAAATATATTAAAACACAAAATAGTTACTTTATATTGTAACAATATCTCACAATATTGCTGTTTTACTGTATTTTTGATACATATTCTTCAAAAAAATAAAAAATCTTACCAACCCCAAAGTTTTGAACTGCACTGTAGTTAGCGTTTTAGTCTAAATACATGTGTATTTAGTTAAAATACCATTTACTTTTGATCACAGAGTATGGAGAAGATACTGATCCGTCCCACTGCCTTTAAGCCTGTTGTGCCCAAGAATCGCAACTCCGTGCAATACCTGTCTCCACGGTCAGGGGGCAGTCTGTCTGAAAGCCAGGGCAGCCTCAACCTCTTACTTCCTGGCACTGGAGCAGGGTTTGGCTGTACAGAGAAGCGTAACTCTTACAGTGGGGGGCGCAACGCGCGGAGTAGCCAGTCCTGCACTATGTCTGACTCAGGCCGCAACTCACTCTCCAGCCTACCCACCTACAGCAGCACAGGGTACAGCCTGGCACAGAGCGAGGTACCCACCGGGCACATGGAAACCACACGCTCCGGCGGTGGCCACGGACACTCTAACTCCGACAGTGGTCGGTCATCATCCAGTAAGAGCACGGGGTCTTTAAGTGGCCGTGGCCAGCCCCTCTCAGACAGCGGATCGTGTGGCCGCTCCCCGGCTCCAGGAGAAGGGTATGAAGGCGTCATTCGGGAACTTGAGGAGAAGCTGAGGGAAAGAGACCTGGAGCTGCAGCAACTCAGGGACAACCTGGATGAGAACGAGGCAGCCATCTGTCAGGTGACAATCACAGTTTTCTACCAGCTATTAGTGCCATTTGACAGGGAATTGTTAGATACAGTGGATACAACGTAAGTAAAATCATGTATCTTTTCCATGCAGGTGTATGAGGAGAAACAGAAGCGTTGCGAGCAAGAGTTGGAGGACCTTCGGCAGAGCTGTGCATCAAAAATGAAGCAGGTGCAGCTGAAGGCACAGCGGGCGCAACAGGTCATGCAGTTGCAGGTGTTTCAGCTGCAGCAGGAGAAGAAGAAACTGCAAGAGGACTTCTCCCAACTGCTGCAGGAACGGGAGGCGTTGGAGAAGAGATGTGCCTCTTTTGAGAAGGAGCAGACTCAGCTAGGTCCTCGTCTAGAAGAGACAAAGTGGGAGGTAAGACCTAGTAGCCATTTAGATCTAGCAAAGAGCAATAATTACATTCAATGAACTTGAATGCTTCTGTATTGCAGGTCTGTCAGAAGTCAGGTGAGATCTCTCTGCTGAAGCAGCAGCTGAAGGACGTACAGGCTGATCTTGGCCAGAAGGCCAGCGAGATTATTGCTTTAAAGGCCCAGTTGAGAGAGGCTCGTTCGGAGCTTCAAGCTAGCCAGGCTCGCTCGCAGGAAGCCCACGCCACAGCCCGCACTCGTACACTCGAACTTGAAGTTTGCGAGAATGAGTTGCAGCGTCGTAAAAGCGAAGCGGAGCTCCTGCGGGAGAAGGTGGGCCGTTTGGAGGAAGAGTCCCTCCGTCTTAAAGAGGCCCTGGCAGTGCATCCGTCCCAAACTCTTCCTTCTAAGGGTCAATGCATGAGCTTGCCCCTTCCCCAAAGCCGTGGAGGAATTGTACACGGGATTAGCCCTGCTTTCCGGGACAACGGCAGAGAAGAGCAGTTTCTAGCATACGAGAGCGATGAAGCGAAGATGCAGCGTCAGAGTGTGGATGTGCTTCACGGTCTCCGTCAGCAGGTGGACCGACTGCGGGCTGAGCTGATGTATGAGAGGAGGCGGAGTGAGGACCAGCTGGAGGCCTTTGAAGATGAACGCAGGGTGTGGCAGGAGGAGAAAGACAAGGTGATCCGTTACCAGAAGCAGCTGCAGCAGAACTACATCCAGATGTACCGCAGAAACCGAGACCTAGAACGTGTGATGAGGGAACTTAGTCTTGAGCTGGAGAACAGGGACATGGAGGAGTTTGACATGCGTAGCAATGAGATCCATTTCGAGGAGATCACTGCCACTGAAATCTAACCCACATCTCACTCTGCCATCGCAAAATGAATTTCCACTGTGCTTGTGTGAGGAGCACTGGCCTTCACTGCAGTGTCATTTGGCATGCTTCTCCACACTATTTCAGAAAGACTTATGTTCAAGGCAAGTTATTGTTGTGATGTCTGCGGAGGCCAGTAAAACATGGAACGTTTGTATTTAGACATCTATATGATCACTTCCTGCCTCGGAAACCTGTGAGGGACTTCAGATGAATGTACAATGACTGTGAACAGCAGTTAATTGATGCCACTGGTGAAGGGAAGGATGTCCTCAAAGATGGTGCTTTGTTCCTGACAAACCCCTATAGTACAACTAGGGCTGTAATTTAGCTTAATTCTAAAAAATTTTTTTAAAAAGTCACGCAAAAAATATCGCATTTAATCCCCCGTTGACCTGAAATGTGAATTTTTTTACACAGGAAGTTCACAAAAGACGTGTTTTTCCATTCAAAAGCATCTACGCAGTGGTGCAGATGTGCAGGGCTCTCAAGTTATTTTTAAAGTTCAACTACTTTGAAGTGTAAGATGTTGACATAAACAGCAGGATGCGACATAATGGCCAAAGACATTTGTAGCATAGAGCGAATGCTAGAATGTGTCCTTTGTGAACTACCTTGGGCAGATTGACAAATCCAGTTTCTAAATGGGTTGATGTGAACTGCAGACCAATGATGGGCTTATGTTTAATGATATCAAAATAAAAAAAATTACGAACGTCCATTCAATACTTTACATGCCTGCTATCATATTTGGATTTTTTTCTCAACAAATATTGATGTATGCAGTTATTTGAGATTCATTTGATTACTTCAATTACTTAATTGGCAGCCTCAATTAATGTAATCCAACCAGAAAAGACTGTCCCTTCAACGAAATATACTGATATGGCTATGAGATTAAAAGACCAATGGGAGGAAATACAGCATGTAGGCTAAGGGTTTCATGGAGTTTATCATATCCTATATAGTACAGAGCACACTACTTGCCTCGCCCATTGTACCAGCATTAACACTGATGGGAAGAGACTTGGAGGCACTCTATTGAGCATCTCATGTTAAGTCACAGAATCTGCAGTTTTGTTGCATTTTCACTCAGTGCTTCCCTTTTTTTTTTTTTTTTTTTTTTTTACAAAACAGTGTAATATACTCTCAATGATCTTACAGTAAAGCAGACACTTTATTTATGTGATAATCATCTTAATATTCTTTTCATTCAAGGCCAAATGATTAATTTCAGTATTGGCCAGAATGGTTCACTGTTTATGATTAGTCTAGTCTTGTATTGCTTCTGTTCATTTTTATCTACATTGATCATTGACTACCTGAGAATCAGAAGATATGATGCCATATTTTTCTCACTCTGCTCAGATTATCATCCCTCATGTTGTCAGGTTCATCTCTGTAGCACAGATATGTTATTAGTGTACGAAGAGCTCTCTTACCCCTGGACAATGTCCTGTGCATTTCTTCCTGACATGTCAATCACTCCCCTAAAAAATACATGTGTAAATATTCCTCATATTGTAATATTATTGACATATTCAATATATTTGTTTTTACAACACACAAAATATCTTGAAGGTGTAACCACTGTGAATAGACCAAAGCAAATTAACGTTTAATCTTTTTGCCCTCATGTATGTGCTTGTGTATGTTTCCTTTGTCAATCTGTAGTCTTTGTAGTCATGTATGTATATTTTCCTATTGTATATTTCTTGTAAAAAAGTGTTTTTAATTATAGAAAGTTGCCTCATTTTGAGTCTGGTGTTTTTGAAAATTTACAACAAAATTTTCAAAATAAAGTCAACAATTTTATTTTACATTTTTAGAGCTTCGTTTAACCTATTATATTCATATTCTAATTATAAAATGTTTAGAAATGCATGTTGAAGAACTACTGTATAATAACGCAAGTACACCATGAATACATCTTCCAATTTTTTGTGCCCTACCCTTATTACTACAGTGAGCCTATAATAATTTTAGAACTGTCAAAACAGATTTCGCAAGAAACTGCATGTTTCTGTCATTCCTCCCTGCGTGTTTACATCAAATAAAGGTAAACAGGGTGGCTACTATTGGTGGAAGGTGTAGCTTGAAGCTACAACAAATGAACCTTTAACTGAAAAGAGTTTGCAAACAAAAAGGGAAAGTGACAGTGTGTGTAATAAAACATGAATCAACACCAGCTTGGTTTTAGTTTACAAAGCATCACATTTTCTGAGCATTGACTGGGTTCACAAAACAATGTTGGTAAATGCTGGTAACAATGCCAAACTCCAAACCAGTTACTACTAGTACTTTTTACTAGTACTACTAGTATGTTTGTCTATAAATAGCCTACTAGCCGAGTTAAAACGGTTTACACCCTTTTTCCTGAACTGATATGAAATCTTGATGGTTAATTTTAATGTCAGCACACTGGCACGCATTTGTAATGTTATTTTAAAACAATTATATTTGTTATATTTGTCATATATCGTCTTTCTTTAATCCTTAAATCCTCTAGAGCTTGTAACACTCCAAAGAGAAAGGAAAAATTGAAATCGCATCATATGACCTCTTTAAATTCGATCAGGCACACCCGTGCGCTTAAAACAGTCAAATTCTTCCACGTAGAATAACCAAAGCACAACTCGCGTAATCAAAACAATGTTCCTCCGCATTAACTTGTAGTTCTATGCTTCAACCACTAGAGGTTACAATAGCGTATCTTTAATAATGTGTACTTTATCATTTAGAATCAGAATTAGAGTCGAAAGAGCATACACAATGGAAGCCGGCAATATTTAACCCTTTTATTTATAATCACACAATGACTTTTGTAATAAAACAAATTGCAAAAATGCAGACCAGATGCTTTGCAGATGCGTAGGCCTACAGAGAAAAACGTTCAGTATATAACACTGATCCTACAATCATCACAACGTTTAGATCTTAATTGCACAGTCCATATGTGCAGCTTTAAGGCACAAATATAAAAAATGCTAAGTATAAGCATAAGTTGCCAAAAATAGAAATTCTCTTAGAGCACAGGATGTGAACTGAGACATGGATCCTCATTTGTAATAATCCCCCAGACATTCACTAAACCAAACCAGCAATTTAAAAGAAAAAAAAAGACCTAATCTCAATCTCAATCCATACTGTGGCTGTGTGTAATCTCTCTCAGGCATAACTGTAACCCGGATGGATGGGTAGTGTTATGACTTATGATTATCAGCATGTCATGCCAGTGCGCTCTTATCTAGCTCCAGGCTTAAACCGCAACCAAAAATAGAAACCCTTAATATCACATGTTTATACAGGGTTTCAGATCCTTTAATGGTGGAAATGATGAGTTATGACTGTTTTATTAGATTTTATAGAATGAACTGAAAATAGAAAAGGAATAGATTCAAAAGCAAATAACTCAACAGGAAGGGAAAAGGTCAGCATCTGTGAATGGCCAATAGCACTTGCTGGAAGCCCATTTTTGGATTCTTGCTCAGGGACCGGACATGATGGCATGATTTCTCTTTCAAACCAAGCAAGTGTCCACCGTTTATACCCTGCAGCCCCAAGGCCCCGATATACTTCAAGCTAAATTCAAGAACTGGTGTGATGTCATTTTGAACAAAATCAGGCGTAATGTTAGTTAGAGTTTGTTTCAGGAATTCAAAGTAGCTTGACTGAAAAGTTTGCTTCAGCTGTAAACACCTTTAAACTACCATTGGTCCATGGCGATTATGTAATACAGTAGATAAATGTGCTCTGGGGCTCTGCCTTCTTTGATGGTGAAATCTTCTTCTGTTCATTTCTTCTGTTCAGGCTGTCAAGATCAGACATGAGTAAAAACATGAACACACTGGAGAGCTGAAGTTGCAATTCTAATTGAAAGTGACACTGATACTGTTTGTTTCATGTTTAGTACTGTAAATCTGCTTGCTTTATCTATTGTATAAAGCTATGTAAATATGACACGACTTGACTGGAGTGCCAAATTGCAGAGCTTGTGCAAACATATCCACTTCGCTATGATCAGATGCTTTCTTAAAGGAATGGTTCACCCAAAAATGCAGAAAATTTGCTGATAATTTACTAACCCTCAGATTATCCAGACTAAAGTCTTGAGGATTACTGTGATGTTTTTATCAGCTGTTTGGACTCGTCATTCTGACGGCACCCATTCACTGATCCATTGATGAGCATTTCTCAAGTTATGTTATTTCTCCAAATCTGTTTCAATTAAGAAACAAACTCATCTACATCTTAGATGCCTTGAGGGTAAATCTGAAGCTAAAGGAGTAAATCTTGAGCAAATTTTCACTTTTGGGTGAACTACTCCTTAAACTGCTGTTTTCTCACCACTGTCATTTTTGTACTTCTTATTTTGTTATTGAGAGAAGAGTGTGCTGCACATATTTACATATCTAATCGCTGCTCTCAGCAGTGTGGGTGGCATCATGATGGTTACAAACAGTTTACCACAGCTCATGTATTTCAAACTTCTTTTAACTCAAGTGAAGAATGAAAGAGAACTTTGCCATAAGTATATCGAGGCCTTTACTACTTTATGGCTTTCAGAGTTTTTGTCGGGTTCTTGGGAACTTTGACAATAAACTCCATGGGGTCTTTGGCCTTGTTGCTGAAAGCCCTTCGAATGGCATCCACCGCATGCTGATGTGTAACACCTTGGAGGGACTCTCCATCTACTGACACCAGCTCGAATCCAGCCTGCACACACAAACAAAAAAAGGGATTTCTAGAAAAGTTCAGGTGTAGGACTTGATCATTAATGCAGATGTCTATTTTCATGACACATCCCTGAGTATTTCTGGCAGTGCGCTGTCTGAATGGCAGGAAAAAGCAGATGCTGCAGGCACAGGATGCCACTCGTTTCCTTTGTTCTCCTTCGTTAATACCTGTGAATGATCTCATCTGGCCTGTTTCACACTGTGTGTGTGTGTGTCAAGGCTCTGCCAGTGGATGACATCAGTTTATTATACTTCAGAAATTGATGTTTTTCTCTGTGATTGTAACCACTGGCAGACCAGAAGCACAGATGTTTGAGTCTTTCAGGTCAAAAACACATGGCATATCCATAAGCTCTAAACTTACTTAAACTCTATCAATCTAAACTCATTTTCCTATCTCTGACACCACTAACAGCATAAAACTAAGTTAAAGAGTGAAACGGTCAAATCAGAGTGAGCAGAAGCAAATATGTACCCCAGTCTCTAGGTGAGCATAACCCAAAAGTTCAACACTCACACAGATGCAGGAGAGTGTCTTTGGAATTATGTCTTTCCTGCCAGGAAAAAAGTACAAAGTAGGCACATTTCCTCAGTCACGATCTCTTACCAGGATGCACCTGTTTAGTGAACTCTCTACACCCATCCTTAGCGGTCAGGGTCTATTTTCATGCTCTTCATTGGTCAGAACAAACACTGTTGTCCTCTTATAGAGACATTATATTTCTCTGTTCATTCTCACTTAAATAGAACTAGAAAACATTTATTATTTTGGCTCATTATTTTCAGCTAAGAGTGTAATTTCTTCTGCGAAACACAAAAGAAGATATTTTGAAGAATGTTGTTGACCACTGACTTCCAATGTATGGACACACACACACATTTCTTAGATGTGACATTTGTCAAAATATTTTTTTTTGTGATTGACAGAAGAAAGAATGTCTAAAGTTTTGGAACTACGTGAAGGTGAGTAAATGATAACAGAATTTTCATGTCTGGATGAACTATCCCTTTAAAGGGGTCATGAATTGAGAAATCAAAATTCCAAGGGATCTTTTGAATTTCAGAACTCAAAACTTTCTCATTAGTCTAAAAACAGCTTATATTGAAGCCAATCTGCCAAAACAACAGCTTGTGGAATGTACAACTCTATGATATAATAGTGTGGCTAATCACCGCTTCCGCAGAAGAAGATAAACGCCTGCTTCTACATCACTGCCTGTTTAGCCCCGCCCACCAATTCACGCATGTAGTATAAATAATGAGAGAGGCAGACGCAGTACACAGTACAAAATAATAAAAAAGGCAGTACATGACCCTTTTCATTAATGCCCAGTTATATATCATGTTATAAAATATAATTTACTCAGATATGTCACATTAAGAATGTAAAATGGGATGATAACAGCAATTCACATTGACATTTAAGTTCCTCATACAAGTAGGCTTACAATTTAGCCCACAACTTTAGCGGCTCCTGAGGTGCGTTCCGATTGACAGGGTCCCTACGCAGTGTTGACTGCTCCCTACTCCCTAAGCACGGGATATCTGTTGAAGTGGACTTCTCTGACAATAATCGCTCATTTGGAACGCCCTGGAATGTCCTCAAAGAAAGGCAATGACAGGGTCACACAGATTATGAACATAAATAAATATTGTAATTTATTTTACTTTCAAATTTATATACAAATATGCATCTAATAAATATAGTCAAAATGTATAGGTTTATACTGTTAACAGATTGTAGTGGTCATTGCTGTGGTAAATAAAGTAAAATAAAAAATGACAGAGCCTCAGCTGTTTCTCACTGGTTTAACTTTGTTTCACCTATTCATACAATACAATATGCAAATATAACATTCATCGCCATAACCATTCATAAATACTATGAATCCTACTATGCTACTAAATACTATAAATAATATGTATAATAATAACAACATTTATTGCAACCGCTCCATTGCAGAGCCTTTAAAAAACTCTTTCAACGGCTCTGCTCCATTGTTAGTTCTAACTGGTGACACGGTGCGCAATGACAGTTGGGTGATTTTCCCTCTCCACTTCCTGTGAAGTGATATATCGATGTGCCCTTATTGCCTATGACGTTTGCAGTGCCCTTCGAACTGAACATGTACGCTCCCTTCGGATTGGAATCTGGCGGAATACCTTGTGAAGTCCACTTCGCAGTCCACTTTTGGTAAATTTAGGCAGATTCTGGGTGGTAGTGCTAGTTTATTATAAACTCAAGAAAGCTTATAGTCTTTCTAGTCTAATCGCTGAACACATGCACACACACTTTTGGCAGAGATCTAATGTTGATCGACAGGCTCAAAGTACACATACATAGAATGCAATTGAATTATTGCCTTAATATTGTCTCCGAGTGTTGATTTAGAATGTTACAAGTTGTAGAGGAATTTAAGTGAGGAAACGAATATCACGTCTCATCTCAAAACAAACACAACAGAACTATATAAAGGCTTTTCACGTGAGCACATTTAAACTAAAGGATTAACACTTTTATTCATTTAAAACACTACTCCACATAGGAAAAACAGACTTGTCAGCTAGTTACTGACCTGATGCAGACACATATAGCTAAAGCTGACTGATATTGTCTTGATCTGGAGCAAGATAAGGTAACATGAAAAGAAGCAGGGCAGGCTCAAAACTGCCCAAATGGCTGTTAGAGCGTGCTGCAGTTCCACTTTTCACCACAGATTTACCATTTAAAATTTGTGGGCTGCAGTTCGGGAGGGCACTGTCACAACTGCCCCACTGAGTATCATTTTACGTACATGCCGAAGCTTGCGATGAATATATCCTGCGCACTTTATGACTTAAAATTGTCAAGAAAATTTGGAAAATATTTGTTGCAGAATGCTGAACACATTTATAGTTTATTATTTATTCAGTTTATACAGAGGTCTATGTTTTGGGTGAATATTTTTGGCCCCACCTGCCCTTACAGATGAGCCGTGCATGGCTAAGACTATTCCAGTCATGGAGAGTGAACCCAAAAGTAGAACACAAGAACTACTTAAGAGCATTATTAAGAGTATTTCAAAACATTATACTTAATGCAACACACTCTGTTTGTGTCCCTTTATGGCCATTTAGGGGCCTAAGATTTGTTTAAGCTGACATTCTCTTCAAACAGCACTTACATGAAGGAGACCGCAGGGACATCATCAGTCTTTTTTGTATGCTATCTGCCTTTTTGACTAAAAACAAATCACCAAAGCTTTCTATGGTTTCAGAGGACAAGCGGAGTCATTTATCAGCGGATAGCAGAGTACATCACTGTGTGCATGAAGAGAGAGAGAGAAAGAAGATGACTCAGGGAAGAGTAAAAATCAATGTGTTTGGCGCTCATACAGCGGAATAGAAACATATTTTCAAATATTTTCAGATTGCATGGCTTTTGAATTCACAAATTTGGGCCAGACAGTGCAGGTTAAAAGTTACTTGCAATTTTTTTGATATATAACATATCATCAACCATCATGTCATCAACCACCACTCTAGCAACCACTCAGAACACCCTATGGCTTAGCAAATACAGGGAAAGTTATCAAGCCCCCTTGTGGTGGCAAGACCCTTGACATTTTCTCCAGAAAATGCCCAAATATAGTTCTGTTATTAAACTGAAGCCCTCTGTATTTATAAGCTGAAGAATGACTATCAAGATCAACACAACAGACTATAATCAAGATGAAAAAGAGAGTGCTGGACTAATTACACATGAGCCGAAAGAGCAGACTCTATGGAGCCCCAACACATACACAACACCTGACCTCCATCTGCCATGCGTGTCAACAACGTTTGATAAGAGGGATGTGACTGCAGACAATGGGTGACAGAAACCTGACCTCCATGCTGCTGGAGCATACTTGCCGCTCAGATAATACAGTTATCAGTTAGACAACAGGAACAGGAAGCATGTCAACAGGGCGCTCCACACTTTCCCTCTGCAGGTCTGTTAATCTGCAGAGCTCAGTGAAGATAGCCGCTCTGAAGAGCCTGTCGCGGCTTCAGGGTGAGACAACAAGTGAATTGAGTGGAATGTAAATTAGTCAGCCTTTGGTATGAATGGAAATACCCTCTAGTCTTTCACACCAAGTCCAGCTGGAGGCCAGAGATGAGTGGATGTTCTTGGCAACTGAGGGGTTTTGAGCCTGACACCAGATCTCCTGAGTGTGGCAACACAAGCCTCTCAGAGCAGGCCAGGGAAATGCTGTCACCTGATAGGCTGTAATCGACAAGGATGCGGCTTCTCTTGACAAACACACACACAAGTGTACATACACACATGGGATTCCAGGGTTTTAACCTTTTATGCTGGGTAACAGAGGTGCTGTTGGTATCATGCCCTCAACTTCTGTGACCTTTTGCCCTCATTCTGCCTCATTTCTTACAGATGCAAAGACCTGGATGTTGTGTAGACACGGTGGTACATAAAATGTTTGTACAGTACACCAGCTGAAATGACTAGTGTGACATCCAGCTTCGTGCTTGATCTACCAGCTCCATCATGGTCTACCAGCAAGACCAGCACCAAACTAGAACTAACCAGAGTAAACCAGCCTGGACCAAGCTGGTCTTTCCAATAGAGATGTACAGCATGTGTTGTTATGTGGAGAAAGCTTCCTTAAAAAGAAGCAGCTGACTCAAATATTGTGTTTTGTGGTCTGGATGATGTAATCCATCAATGATGAATGAGTTGTACCACTTAAGCATATAAAATGCCTCTGCGCTCAGCTAACGTAACTGAGTGCTAGCTGTAACCAAAACAGAAATCACAAGGCCTGCAGCCATTGATCATTACCAGACCTTCCTAATAATGATTGGGTGACAAACACACTATTCATCAACTAATAATGCTAGGATGAATCCTACCAGCAATATCCTTATACATTATTTGCAGCAATGGTATAGAATTTGAAAAAGGAGTTTGTGTGAGACACTTGGTTGCAGCAGACGCTTCTCTTGAGAACATATTCCACTTTGTCTTGTTCGATTTAAAAAATTTCCTGCTCAAAAATCAAACAATGGTTGGTCACTCACTGGACACATGATGCCCTGTGCATAATTTGCATCAGTGTTATAGATCAAACCAGCTCATTCAAGTCTGAGACCAAGACCAGAGTCAAGACAGAGTCCACATGCTCCCAAGTCAGAGTCCAAGGCCATATTGTCAGTGTCTTGGTCTTGTAATAGACTCAGAAACATGTGAACTTGACTCTCTTCTGGTCTTGGCCTAGAGTCGGACTCAACCTAGTCACACTTCTGTTCTGTTCTGTTTCAAATAAGCCTTGTCTAGACTGCAACACTGCTTAGCCTACTGTAGATGAGTCTATATGAGGATCAGTTACCTTCAGAACATTACTAGTAGATGCTGCTCCTCCTGGAAAGATCTTCTCTATCTTCACCATTGGCTGCACCTTTGACTCAATCCCACCTGAGATGCTTATTCCTGCAAAAAGAATAATAAGAATCATCTAGCCATCCACATGTTAATGATGACTTCAACTCTCTATATATGCATGAAACAAACACTGTATAACCAATTCATCTACACCATTTATATTCTTATATTGTAGGCCTTTTGTTTGGATGGATGTGGAAAACTGATATTTTAATTGTGCCATAAAAGTAACAGATGCTGATTCCAGTCTAGACAAAACATATTAGAGATGTCAGCAGATGTGTCATTAAGATGAACAGAAATAAAAACGTTAAGCTTTCTCCAGGACCATTATAGACCTTCTTGAATGGGAGTGCACTCTATTATCTCACTGGGCAATTCACTGCCATCTTCTGGTGAGGTGAGAAGAATAACTGAAGGAGAATCTCTTCTTTAATACTAATCTATCAGTGATTATATGGTCTTTTTCCCACAAAGTTCTTATTTCTTATTTTGTCAGTGTACGCTACATACTCAGAAAAAAGGTACAAAAGCCATTACTGGGGTAGTACCTTTTCAAAAGGTACACTTTTGTACCTTATTTAGCTTTAAAGGTGCATATTAGTACCTTAAAGGTACATACTGTACTAGTACCAAAAGTGTACATCTTAGTACCTTTTTAAAGGCCTTTTTAAAGACAGCTTTTGTGCCTTTTTTGATTGTGGGTCCAGAATGAATCACATGCTCTGCAAATCTACTGTATTAACAAGCTTTAGTCATACTATTACTCATACTCACAAACAGAGATCTGAACAAACTCTAACCCTAAGTATTAAACTTTGGTATGTAACTCATCAAGCGCTGTTTATATTACCGACAATAATTGGCCTTTTTTTGAGTATGAGGAGAGATGACTTTTCTAAGTGATCAAATTGATCATATTTCCCTGGTGAATGATACAAATGTCATGATTCACAATGAAGGAGGGACCTAAACCATGTCTATGGATCAAAATATAATAGAGGCTTGAGTGTGGGAATTTGGAAACCACCAAGCAGCCCAGAACATTCTATAATCCACATAGCAACATGATTTAAAAAAACTGCAGAGCAACCTGGCAACCACCCAAAACACCCTAGCTTTGTGGGGGCAACTTTTACATAGCCAAGCTGTATTAACATTTCATAAATATATAATCAAGTTATTTTGGTCAGAGAGAAATGGGATGTTTGTCATTTGAGAAACGTTGCCACAAAGCCACAATACAGTGACTCCGAGTAACTCACCAAGGGACTGTTTGGTCTTAGAGATAGTAACTGTGGTTAGTTCATACTCCTGCTCTGGTGGGGTTTCTTGGCTGTCTGAATGTCCATTCACTGGTTCTTTCCAGTCCTGATCCGAGCTGGGCGCAAAAACCTGGGTCAATGGTGTCCTACTCCGGCGGTGTGCACTCATTACGGTATGCTTTACCTCTTTACCATTCTGGGATTTGTCTGTTTTCATTCGATGACCATTCCTATAAGGGGATCTCCCTCGCACTGGGATAGAATCACCCCTGCTGGATAAAGAGTCATGGTGTGATGTCCTGAGGACACCGTTGTCTCTTCTCTGGGGGGAGCGTCCGATGCGTTCCGTGCCGTGAGGAGACTCTGAGTGTGTCCAGCTGGGCCGAGCAGGACTCAGTGAATGATTACGGAGCGAGTCTGTGATGTAAGTGTCCACTGGTACATCCAAGAGTGGTGTGAAAGCTCGAGGAGGAGGAAGCCGTCCAGTCGGTAAACCTGCCAAACGCATCCGTTCCAGATCTTTGATGAGCTGCCGTTCTCTCTCCAGATCCTGTACCGGCTGAAGGTGGAATCCACCCCGATAATCTGTGATTCAAGGGGATATTAAAACCATTTCTCACACATTCTAAGCATAATCGCAGGTTATCATCACTCTAAACCCCACTTTTAAAGGGTAAAGGAACGTTAGAGACTTGTCATTTAAGGCTGGAATGCACTACACGATTTTTGCCTAGATTTTTGCCCTGATTTACAGCCAGGAGAAGTTGATGCTAGGTGCCAAAACTCAAACCAGTCAGCAGATTTGAGCTGACTGATTTCAAAGAAAATCACATAGTGTATGATGGTGACAGACTCATAGCTTCAGATTTCATCCAGTCAGAGGATATCAAACATGTTTGATATTTTGAGCTGATTTTAGGACAGGTATTGATTTCATTTATCATACATCTCCTAGATACAAGGCACACATTTCTGCGTGAGTTTGCTGTGATCACAAAGATTTTAAAGTCTGGTATTACAACGTTGAAAATTGTATGATGCCTAATGTTTAAAATATGTTCAGATTTTTAAAGTCATGTACTGTATTCCAGCCTTTAGTAGCGGCAGAGCTGAGTAGATTACTTACAAATTGTAGTCCATTACTGATTACAAATTACATGATGAAAACTGTAGTTAGTAACACAATCTAGGTTACTCATTTTAGGTCATGTATTTTGACTACTTTTTAGATTACTTTCAGATAACTTTTTATCCAACTTGTTTTAATCTTGCCATTAAACATACAATATTGATACAAAACCGCAGAGAGAGAAAATATATTCCCTTTTTATATCAACATCATAAAATGTAATCAAACATTACATTAAACCAGGGTTTCCCAAACTGGGCTTAATGTAAGAGCTGCAGTGGGTCTGTGAGTTGATAAAAAGCTAATAATTAAGTAAATCATAAAAATGTAAAATAAATTATTTAAACTTTGAACATTAAAAATAATAATATTTCATTTGTTTACCTGCACGACACATTGAACTGTAAATATGCGAATGTGTTAAATTATTAAAATATTACCTTCCTGAGAGATATATCAAGTAAATATTTAATGTCAAAGGGGTTTAGCTGACAAAAACGTTTGGGAATCCCTTTCTTTCATATATGGACTAATTGCTTGAGAGGTTCAGAAGCATGGATTGCAAAATTATTTTTATGACATTTTCATGACCATTCAATTTTGTGAATATAGTCAAAGCTAAATAGCATGACAAACAGTAGGCTTTTTAGAAAGGAAAATGTAAAAGAGAAAAAGAACAATTAGGGAGAACCAATAAATTATTAATAATTTACTGCCATTGTGTGCATATTATGTAATGTAATGTAATGTAATGTAATCCATAAAAAGTAACTGTAATCTGATTATGAGCATTATAAAACGTAATATACTCTTATTACAAGTACTTGATTTTTAAAATCTGATTACATAATCCAGATTACATGTAATCAGTTACTACCCAGCTCTGAGTAGTGGTGTTAGCACCACTTTTACCTGAAATTATGAAACCTGTCTCTTGTGAAGGGTTAGCACCACTTTTGCGCCATTGAAATATTACAGCTAGATGCTTAGCAACAGACATCCAATCACAGCCCTCATATTTGAGTTAAGAAGAGACTGATTTGTTCCTACCATTTTAGTCCGAAAAGTCCATTCAGAGCAATATACAGGCTTCTGTTTACCCGGGGTTTAGAATGACCCAGGGTCAACTATTCCTAACTGCGTAAGTGTGGCTAAAATGTCAAAATATTTTTGGGGGCTGCTGGATGTCAAGGTACATGGTATTGCCATCTGATTTCATTATTGTAACATAGTACCATATAGGTAAAATTATAGGTATATAAATACAACTGAGAATTCAGACTCAAAGAGTTCCTCCTCCCACGAACATACATATAAATGGTATAAAAGCTGAATTCATTTACATCTCCTTAAATCAGTGCAGATGTTACGAAACCTCACACACACTTTCCCTTTCATCCAGAAATGTGAGCGACAATCACACATTCATATCCATTGAGTAAGCAGCGGTGTGGCGTTGCATACACGCACATCTCGCTCAGATTTCAGGGGCCTCTAGCACAGAGAGTTTTGAATTACTCCTCTGTGGACATTACAAAGGAGCTGCATTAAGTCTCAGACCTGCGTGGGTGGACGCTTGAAGGTTAAACAATGCAAGGCGCCTTTCTTGCATTTCAGAAACGACTTCCATTCAAAAGTCAGAGGCACATTACAGCCCGACACTGTGGACAATGACAGCGGGCACTGTGCACTCCAAGGTTAGAGGTTAGGAGGTCATGCAGTGTCAGCAGCAGAAAGAAACAGGCAGGCTATCTGGCAATAAGAGACAGATTATCTTCTTTTGGCAGTGATGCATGTTGGGCATCCTGCAAATGATGCATTTGTGTCCTAAATGGCAGCTTACAATGAAGAAAACTGCATAGGGCTTGTTATTAAAAAGTGATGGTAGTGTACAGTAACAAGGGTTTTAGAATGAGAGGGATTGTGTGTGTGGATTAAATATCAGCAACAGGATATTTGTAGTATATGTATGTGTGTGTATACGGTTAGACATTCATTTCAGGATATGAAATGCCTGGTGCAGAGAAGAGTTTGTGTCTTCTGGTTGTATCATTTCCTACAGGGATCACTTTGAGGACATTGTACAGCACAGATATATAAATATATGCATTTCGGAGGCTGACACTGAAACACTCCTTACCTAACCTCCCTCAGCAGCAGAAGCTTCTCAGGCTTGTCCAAGATGGCCAGCAGGGGGCGCACCAGATCCTCAACCACACGCTCAACTAAAAACTAAAGAACAGAAGGAGATGCCCTAGTTCAGCAATTTACTCCTGATAATGTGAACTAGTCACAAGCACTGGATTTAGAGTCTAAATCTTACCAAATTCGTGTAAAGCACGAAACATTCTTGGAATTTAGGGCTCACAAGCTGTCAATAAAGTACTAAACAATTTTGTAGTAATGAAGTAATACGGTCTGCTCTAGCGCTATCCGGATAACTGTGGCATTGTCTACACTGAAAAAGTGTGGTATAGAAACTACTAGTAATTTCACAAATAATTACAAAGAATCTGAAAGCAATGCATTAAATGTGAATTTATTTTGAAATAGTAAGACTGAGGTATTGTCTTGTAAAACATTCTCCAGTAATTTTTGTTTCAATTACAACTACAATTTTATACTCAGAGTTCTGTACGATTTGGATAACTTGATCTCAATCATAAATGGCAAGGCAAATCCCTCTTTTGTAAGCATAACCAGCATGCACATTGATTAGTCAGAAATATACATAGCAAGACAATAGAGCCTTTTCTAGTTAACCACATAAACATTTTGGAAAAGGATAAACCTGTAAACCCGTATAAAGTCCTAAATGAGACATTATTTCAACCCAGCAGACTTTTAGATGACTCACCCTTTTACAGTGTCTCATGACAGCCGCCACCTCATCCTCGTTGAGCAGCTTGCGGGCCATATCCTCCAACATGGCCATGGTCTCCGGGCTGGGGATGGGGCTGTGCTCCCTCATACCAGCACGAGTCTCTCTGGGAGAACTCAACAGGTTAATTATGGGTCGACCCCGCTCTTTACCTGAGGACACAAGTGCTAGAGTCAGTCTACGAGCTCTGATGACAGCAATTCTCATTTAAATATCTATGGTTTTGGCATCTTCGGTTCCATGAAGAATCCATTGAAGCTTTCCTTTGTTAAAAAGTTTTTTATAGTGGAAAAAGCTTCTTTATATTATTAAAATGTTCTTCACAGAAGGAAAAATAAAATTCTTTACTGTTAATTGTAAGGTTATTAAGGGGATCAAAAATAGTTCTATACAGTAGGGGTGTCCAATCCTGCTCCTGGAGGGCCAACATCCTGCAGATTTCAGCTCCAACCAACTCCAACACACTTTCCTAGAAGTTTCTAGTGAGTCTGAAGACCGTGATTAGCTGGTTCAGGTGTCTTTAACTGAAGTTGAAGCTAAACTTTGCAGGACAGTGGCCCTCCAAGAACAGGTTTGGACACCCCTGTTCTATGGCATCACAGCAAAAAGCCCATTTTAAAAAGTAAACTAATTGCAATTATGTCCAGACAAAAAGACCGGCAAATCTGACTGGCTGACAAGCTGTGATTAGCTTGGAGTTTTCAATGTGTTTCTAAGTTATGCTGCAGTATGCACTGTAGAGAAGGAAGCAATGCAATTAATCATTAGCTGAGCAAAACCACAGGAGTTGGACTCAAGGCCACTTCAAGGGAATTACCGCAGAACAGTGTACAGTAAAGCAGCTCTCTGATTTAGGCTCTTTAAAAACTCATTATGCTGCTTTCTGGCTTTTCGAATGCAAATATCTTCCTCAGCTATTCCCTGGTATCCACAGAAAGTGATCCTCATCAAAATATGTTAAACCCCATGTGGACTCACCCGGTTCGTTATCTAAATGTTTCGGGGATTTGGATCTTCCTCTGTGTCCGTCCCCTGCCCCTTTGTCCTTCCTGTCTCTAGAGGATGACCTTTCCCGCCTGCGTCCGCTTTTAAAGAGCAAGCTGACAAAGGTTTTGGAGCGCTGCAGGGTGCTTCTCTCCGTCTCTACCTTGTCCTTTTGATGCTTCCTTTTCTTCTGCTTGTCCTCTGATCAACATCAAGCAGAAACATGTCAAAGAGTGACCTCCAGGCAAAATATACTGAATAAATAGATGTTCACAAGGAAACCTTTAACATGCTCAAGTGATAAAATACATGTATTATAGGTGGCAAAGGCTCCAAGTTCAGCCCTGAGCAATGGTGACCCAGAAACTGGAGAGTCACTGAGATCACAATGGGGTTGGGGGGTTGAATCAAGATATTGTGGCCAATTTGTTCCCACAATTTGTTAATTGGTTCTTCTTAAATTGTGTTTTTATATCGACAATTTAATTAAATTAAAACAAGAAAACATTAGCTCAACAATATTTAACTACAATGAGGGAACAAATTAATAATAATTGGTCAAGAATTAATATGGGAACTAATTCTTAACTTGTGGCCATGATATCTATTTTTTCTTCTTCGTGTTAATAAAAAAATGCAAAAAAAGTTAATGGTCCTAAAATAGGTGTCATGTTTTTCTATTTTTGATTTGGGGTGAAATATGACCTGAACATGTTTCCGTGAGATTTATCGAAGAAGAGCTTGTTATGTTAAGTTGTGATTGAAGGTATTTGTTAAAGGCCACAAAACATCCAGTCATTTATCTCCACAGTGTGAGGTATTAAGCCTGGCAAATAAAACAGGATGATATACACTTTGCTGTGTGGATTTTGAGCATACATTTCTCAAGGCATCAGATTCTCCAGTCTGAACCGTTAATCTTTCACGACAAGATCCCGTGCAGTAATGCTGATGTATTATGCATTCAACCAAGTTCATTTAAATGCAGAGATACAATGGCAGCACACTGCTATATATTTGACAAACAGACGTAGCAGTGTGACTCTAAAGGTCAATTGCTGGTTTTCGACAACACATTTTCTATTCTGAGCGGAGCTTCCACAGCGTGGTGTGTGTATCAAATAACCCAAGATCCTCATCACTGATCTGGTTGTGACCTTGGGCCCCGGCACTACAACTGAGATATGAGTTACATCAGTGACACAAACACAGGACGGCCCTGTGCAGCTCAACTCATTTTGATTCACAGCCTTCTGACAGACTGTTTTTTTATCTCTTATCTCTAAACCAGCCCTACTGTACCTGACACAGTGATGTGACTCTGGGATCGGCGGATGGGTTTGCGAGGCTTGCTGAGAGCCATCAGGACTGCCGTTTTAGGAGAGTCCAAAGTCTCTTTATCCCCAGCAGAGAAGGTCCTTGTCCGAGTTTTGGCAGTCCCACTGCGTATTACTGTGTCTTTTAACAGGACAGTTTCGCCAACCGTTCGGCTGGTTTCTGTGGTTAAGACCCTACTAGATCTTGATGTGGCATCGGGCTCCGGTGGGTCCGTCTGCATGGCGGTCTCTATCCGTTCAGAGCTGGGCCGGCGTGAGCGGTCCTCGGTGGAGATACAGACATCCACCATCTCTGAGCCGAATACAGGAGGGAACATGACCTGCGAGAGGCCGCTGAGAGAGCTGACCGGCGTCCCGGAGGAGAGAGAGGAAGTGGAAGAGTAAGAGTCTGAACCCTGGGAGGAAGCGGGCTGGCCTCCATTAGCCACTAAGGGGGAAAAGTAGAGACTTTCATTTATTATTTTTAGAGATAAAAAGTTGGATCACTTTATCTGTCATCCACTTCATTAAACTTAAATGCACAGTACTGTCTATAGCAAAACTTCTATTTAATAACTTTAATATAAATAAAATTATTTTAATCTTTGACAATTAAGTTACACAATTATTTCAAGGAAAAAAATCTGGCTGCCTAAAATGCTGTGGCAGAAATCGTCATAATTATCATCTTACATATATCTAAGAACCATTAAGATGTTATAAGTTTTATCTCGCTCTACATTGAAAAAAAGGTAACGTAAAGATAAAGTAAAAAGGTAAGGTAAATTAACAGATTTTACTCCAGGCCAAAATATGATTTAACTTATTAATTTGCATATATATATTATATTTTAATAGATTTATTTTATATATTGTACTATTTATTTATTTATTTATTTATTTATTATTCTATCTATTACTGGGTCCACCTCAATACATTCATTTATAGATATAAATAGCTTTTTGGATAACAAAATAAACTAAACTAAAATAAACTAAAATAAACTAAAATAAACTAAAATAAACTAAACTAAACTAAACTAAAATAAAATAAAATAAAAGGATAACACATTTCATGAAGCCTTTATGTATAACGCATTATTAAAGTAGTTTTAATGCATTAATTTAGCCTTGTAATGCATTGTACAATCTCATGAATAATTGTAACCACAGTTAATACATTACAACACTTATCAATTCATTGTTACACTATGCATTTTAAATTTGGTTATAATTATTTACATTAAGATATAATGTATTACAACGCACATTATGAATAATTATAATGCATTACACCCTTTAATAACCATTTATAATGCCTTAAACACAAAGGCTTTAAGTAAAATGTTACCAATAAAACAAAATAATAAAACAAAATAAAATAAAATAAAAAAGCTTAACAAATAAAGCAACAGACATCATGTCTAAAAACCTCATAAATATTAAAGTTCTGATGTCCTTTTACATCTGAATGAACAATATATCAATGTCACTTGTGTTAAATATGGAGCAGAATTACATGAGCTTCTGTCCTGCAACCTAAATACCCCTGAATCACCCTGATGTTACAAACATGCACAATCCTGGACGACTTATCTGAATGTGAACATTACGATCTAATCCGTGGCTATTTTCAGACACTGCCATCCATATTAAATGGAAAACAGAGAATCAGAGGGCAATGAAAAAATCTGGCTTGACATGTGGCCGGTTGACGTTCAGCTTTAATCTGGAGATGGGCCGTCCCAGTGCACACCATCAATTAATTATGAAAATTGCATTTCTATAAGATAAGTGCAAACGAGTGGGTCGCACAAACCATGCAACCTATCCATTAATATATGTACTATTAACAGATAAGATGTTAAATAGTGATGTTTGCAGGTAACAGTTACGTACATTTATTAAGCCAGCTGTACTCCGCCACCATCTCCTTGTAAGCAGGATATCGGCCAGCCTCCTAGGACAGGATATTACACAAGACATAATCACAGTGAGAAAGGAGCTACAGCCTTAATTACATTGCATGCAAGTTCAAAAGTCCTTGGGTATAGTTCATTGTGCAAATTAAGTCTAAACAGCCTAAAAATGACTTCAAACAGCATTTTCCACCAGTGAAGTCAGAAGGATATGACCTCATTTCTGATGCCCCAGGTGTACGCTGACCTCACTACAGGCTCTCATGAAGTCACAGTTAGTTTGATTCTCCATAAACATAAAACAAGCTTGAACATCATTAAGATGATGGTAGGAGGCAGCCTGATCTGCCTTGCATGGTCTCCTCATGCAGGAGCTAGATTCGAACAGACTGCAGCAAAGTTCAAAAAACATCCCATTCTCCTTTTGTTTTGACCCTTGTCTGACATTTTCTCACACTGTCACTTCACTTATCACTAGCAGAGCTCGTACTTACCACCACGAAGTGGCATCAATAGCTAACAAAGCAGGCATTTAGCAGCCCTATATACTTATAGCACCACTGCAGGTTTGACAGAGCCTTGCCATGGGGGCAATGAGAAAAGGCCATAAAACGAGGCTTTCTGCTGATTATAACTTGATCCCTAAGGCCTGGTGAATAATGCACACCCGCTGGCTATTTTTCACAGGTGGAACCTGAGCCCTGCCTGAGTAAAGCGAGCAACCAGGAATGTGACGGCTAAATACCAGCTGTCTGCTTTGCTATGCTTTCTCACTCCCAGACGCAATAAGAGGCAGTGTTGTTTAACATGCTGTGGTAGCAATTAATATGCCAAAGCACTTTGGAAATCATTTGTCTTGCTAAACTAAAAACTAAAATTTCCCTGATAAACTAAGATGTATACAGAACATCGATGTACCTTTTTTAATACTGTCATTAAAAATTGACACTCTATATTATTCATTTGTAAAACTGGGTGGGTGTTATTTCCATAAATAAGACTGTTGATAATGCTGATAATCTCAAATGGTCAAATATCAGGTCTATTGCTAAAGTTTAGGTTATTCTCACCTTAATGGTCAGCATCACATGAGTGTGACTCTTTAGCACTTCTACTGCATTGCTGTGTGTGATGTCCTCAAAACTCACTCCATTGGCTGCCAGAATCTGATCCCCCATTTTAATTCCATTTTGCTCTGCCAGGCCACCAGGGTCCAGCCTCATCAAAAAATTAAACAAATCATCACATTAATAGAGTTCAACAATTAACCATAGCATCTATGCAACAGTTGTCATGAAGTTGTCAGACATTGAAATGCATCCCTGGGCATTTTGTCTTACTTTGAGACATAGATGCCCAGGCCAAACTCTTTGCCACCGCGGATGTTGAAGCCCAGGCAGTAGTCATCTGAGGTTGTGTAAAGGTGCACTATTCTGCGCAGGGCTCCATCTGAACTGGCCTCTGAAGGTGTGCGACCACTTTCTTCCACTACCATCCTTCGGTGGATTAGATCTACCCTGCACACATACATTCATATAAGTTTACAAGCAATAAACAAATAAGTGACACAATAATTTAAGTCATTCTACAAAAAAAAAACACAGGTTTGGGGTCCTTAAATTTCTTTTTTAAAATAAGGGTTAGTTCACCCAAAATCTAAATTATGTCATTAATTACCCTCATGTCTTTCCAAACCTGTAAGGTCTTCAGTTTTTGATGAAATCCGAGAGCTTTCTGACCCTCCATAGACAGAAATGCAACTGACAAGGTCTTCAAAGCCCAGAAAGGTAGTAAGGACAGCTTCATAAAATTACGGTTGAACCACTGATGGCACATATTTTAATGACTGTTTTAATGATGTCCTTACTACCTTTCTGGGCCTTGAACATGTCAGTTGTGTTGCCGTCAATGGAGGGTCAGAAAGCTCAAAAATATCTTCATTTGTGTCCTGAAGATGAATGAATGTCTTACGGGTTTGGAACGACATGAGGATGAGTAATTAATGACTGAATTTTCATTTTTGGGTGAACTATCCCTTTAAATTGATCAAAAGTGGCAGTAAATACTTTTTACATTGTTATGAGAGATTTCTATTTCAAATACATTTTATTCTTGAATTTTCTATTCATATAAGAATCTTGAAAAAGAGGAATATAATTTTTCTAAATATTACTGTTTTTATGGATTTTTGATCAAATGAATGCAGCCTTAATCAGTATGAGACATCTTTCAAAAAACAAAACAAAAAAAAAGGTTTTGAAGGGTAACTACAAAGTTTATTATCAAAACTGAAGTGTGTCATTTCTGCACAACTAGTGTTGTTACCAAACAGAATTGTCCTACTCTTTCATTGGACAGACAAACTAAAAACCCCACCCCACACTTAAGCCACTGGCTCCATGTTGCTGTGCTCTAGCCGATCAGGGTGCTCAAAAAAAGCAGAACCATTTTTTGAATGTTTACAGCGTTTAAACTTTGAGGAAATCAATCTACAAGTGATTTCCTTATAGTTGTATTTGCATATTAAGTTAAGATAGGAAAAAGTGTTTTAATATAAATAATTACACACTTCACTTTTAAGTAAAAATCCAGTGTTATACACAAGCACACACACACATAAATCTTCAGGTGGACACACATACACTTCTGTAATAAACTTGCTCACTCTACTATCAGTTAATGAAATGGCTGAGAAGCCCACTAAGGTAACTCTACCACTTCTGTATGCTGAAACAGAAGCTGAAGGAAAAGATAACAAGTAAAGGCCAAGAGTCACAGGGTTTCCACCCCGTTAGTCAAGGCAGGGGGAGAAAGAGCCCATCACTACGCTCTGCTTATCTTCTCAGTTCAGTTAGTCTAATTAAACCCCATCATTCAGCAAATCTGCGACAGAAAATGCCTAAAAATACAGACTTTCAAATACTAAAAGAACCTCTAAATGTTCAAGGGCAAAACACACTCTTCTGTTATGAGTTGTCAAAGGGTATTTGGACAACCTCCAGGAGGCAGGCTTGTGGGAGACAGGTCAAGCTGCCATATAAACAGCTACTTTTCTTGCATAATACTAGGACATGTTGATGCATTTCATTACTTTTTTGTATAACTATGAAAATAAAAACAATTGCATTTTTAAAACTTTTAAATGCACAGATACACAATATCTCATGCAATATATACTGTAATATCTGAAAAACTTGAACCGTGTTTGACAGAGTACAGGCTTGATGATGCATCAGCCACAAAATCATCAGTGTAATAGTTCTCAAGCAGGGAACTTCAAGAAAAAAGTCCACAAGATAACTTAAAATTATTTAACAATTTACAATAAAAATTTAAAACCTAAGAATAGTAGGAATACTAAGAATAGTATTTTACCTTTTAATAACTATTGTTTTTATCGAAGAACATACAGAATAAGAATCTTTAATATTCTGGAATCACAAAATAAATCGTGATGAATTAATTTATCAACATTCAACATCTAGCTTCTGTTAATAAAAAAGTTTGAAAACAAGCAATGTTATCATGATTATAACAGGAAATAGCAAAGACAATATCTTAGTCAATATGGGATTCAAAAATGTGGACAACTGCAGAAATAACATTATAATTGACCTTCAGCCTGATAGAGTGTGCTTAGCCTAATATAAAAACATACAAAATAGTATATCATGTTCAAGTGATGACATAAAAGCTCAACTTACCATGTAGTCTTCTCTTTCGAGTAGCGGATACCTGGCACCTTCCCCACACGTCTTACCACCATGCGCAGACGATTATTTCCTGTCAGGATTTTTACGGCACTGCTCATGGTGATGCTCTCCAGACTTATGCCATTCACCTCGACCAGCTTATCTCCAACACACAAGCCTGCCAACTCTGTAATGTGGAATCAGGATACAAAAACACATTAATATGAAACTCACCAATAGCTTATACATGCATACCATGTCGTAATAAATCTCAAATCTCAAATGCAAATCCTCATCAGTTGTAACCCCCTCTGTGTACCTGCAGAGCTGTCATCCTCCACCTTGCTGACAAAGATTCCCAGGCCGTGTTCAGAGCCTCCCCGCACACTGAAGCCCAGCCTGCCATCCTCACTTTTGTCCACAGTAATTGTGTGGATGTCTTCACTGTCATCCCCACCTACAGTGCACCAACATCAAACACAAATAGAAAGTTCCTCTGAAAATAAATATAACTCACAAGTATAGTGATGGGTTTCGTCAATGTTTTTGCTCCTTAGCAAAAGATTCTTTCTCATATAATATAATATAACATAATATATGCACGAATTTCCAATGTAAGACTTTCTTTAAAAAAAACGAAACAATTTTTTTACGCTTTATTACATGTTTTTAAATGCAAGAAAAGGCAGCCAACAATTGTATTGCATTCAGCAACTCCTTCAATCACAGGATCCTGTTTGTGTTATTTTCGTAGTTTGATAACACTGTACTGTTATTGTCCTAGAAATGCATGATATCCCAATTTATAGATAGGGATCTGGCTGATACCCAAGCAGATGATAATTTTCATGTTATGGCCGATAACCAATAAATGGCAGATATCAAAATTGTAAACTATACAGATTAGAATCTAAAAATAAAAAATAAAACACTAAAAATATAAATGAACCATTTTAAAATATGCAATATCGACTGATACTAATTAATAAAAAAAAAAAACTCTTATAGTAGCCAATAACCAATATAGTTCTATTATATTTTAATCCTTAAGTGGAATAAACATACTTTAGAAAATATCACCTCAACCTGATCTCATGAGAAATTTTATATATTTTTCGAATTGGCGATTTTGTATTCATTTGTATGATTTGATTCTTTGACAAATTGCTTTGTGTGGATGATTGTACAAAAACGTACAAACGAGAGCTACCAATTCACCAAAAAATAAAATTTATATTTCAAATAAATAGTTCTTTTAAACTTTCTATTCATCATAGAATCCTCAAAAAAGCATCACAATTTCCACAAAAATAGCAGCACAGCTGTTGTCAACATTGATAATACAAAATGTGTTGTAAAGCACCAAATCAGCATATTATGTTTTTTTAAGATCATGTGACACTGAAGACTAGAGTATTAGCTGCTGAAAATTCAGTTTTGTCATAAAAGGATTGAATTACATTTTAAAATGTATACAAATAGGAAATGGTTATTTTAAATGAATTGCCATGAGAATGTGTTGGTAAACCTGCATCTAGATCAAGCTCTTGTAGATTTACCATCGACAGGTGCATTGATGAGAATGACTCTCCCCATAGGAGAGGAAGATCTCATTCCTCTCTGGCGCTGCTGCTTCTTGTGCAGGTAGCGTGGTAGAGTAGAAGTGCCCGAGGGCCCTGGCTGGGCACTGGGATGAGCCCCATTCGTCATGTCTTTGCGTGCCGTGTCAGACGAATGAGCCATGGCAAAGTGCCGACCTCCCCTCTAACCCTCATTCAGGGCCTGAGCTTCTAAAGGAAATGAGGGTGGATGGGGAAAACTAGAGGTCCAGTGGGTCAATACTAGTCACGAGGATTACAGTCCACAGGATTAGATCCACAAAAGGAAACTCCACTGCACAGTGGTGCAGGAAGAAGCTGCTATGGATCCAGCATTGTTCACTTCAGATTACAAGAAATGTTGTGACTTGTCTTCACAGAGTCTTCACGGAGGACTCCGACATGATTATAATCATTTCATGAAACAGCTGATAAACAAATTCTATTATCCAAGAAGTGGCAGAGCAAAATGTATCCTCATATGCATTGTTCGGAAGAGAGTCTCGCAAAAACAGAGGATGTGTAATAGTGGCTCAGGTCTTTTTGTTGAGTTGAAAGTCTGTGGGTTAGACTGGGGCATTGGGCATCAGTCCCTCCTCACTGCCAGTGGAGCTTTGCTTGGCAGAAGTCAGTCATCTGGTCCTCCCAGGCCTCAGTGTCTCACCTTTACCTGCCAGTGATCCAAGACGACAAAGAAAGATCTGTGAGAACCCAGCCGCACAATGACTAATTTCCCATGGGAGGTAAAGTGATATCAGCAATTATTGCATTCTGGAAAGCTAAGGGTTGCACTGTTTCCACAGCAAGAGATACTGAGCCGTTGTGGAACACTAATGTGTTAAGATCTACTGTTTTAAACTGTGAATGCATAAAGAGTGTTGCCTCAACAATGTCTTTTATTTGGTTACTGGTTCAGAAAAATAAAAATAAAAAAAACTTTTCTTAATGGATTGATCAAGAGAATTACATTAAATTTGGTTTGTGATTATTTTATTTTCACTTTTATATTTTGTTTTGAAAATACATTTTTATATGACTAAAAGTGTGTTCCATCACATGCAGCATGTTTTATATGATACATTTACCAATAACCGTACCATTAAAAAAAAAAAAATAGAGATAATAATGAGTCAACAGGTGAGTCCAGGTGATCAGTACGAAAATCTCTTTCCCTCAGTAGGAAGCAGTAATGAATGTCCCTCAAATGGACAGAAAGTGCAGAATTTTTGAGTGAAATCTGCTGGTTCTTTCAGACAGGATCACAGTTACTTAATCTGCAAAAGTTGCCAGCACACTCAAATTTCTTATATAAACACAGGTTATGGTTATCAATATAAATTTCATTTTTACTGTATTTGCACATGCAAAGTAAACAAATGAATAAAACTACATACGAAAAACGAAACGTGTATAATCCAACTTAAATTATTCCTTTACCCTTGGAGAAGCGATAAAAACAGGATCCATTTTCCTTAAAGAAACCCACTGAATCCAGTGCGCGTCATCTTGACCTCTTATGCGTTCGTGTAGGTTTTTGGGTCAGGCATTCTATAGTCAAGAAAAGAAGCTGGCGTTGTCGTTTCGTTAGTCTAAACAGGAAGTTGGCTGACTGTCTCATCATCAGCACCTCGGACAGCGCTCAAGCAACAGGTTACGACGTAAAGCGCATAGAAACGCTTCAGTGAACAACATAACAACCCAACATTCTCAGAGATGAAGTACTGCCTCACTTCTCACTGCATCAGGGTGAGAAGATCTCAAAACTATACAAAGATTATCCTCTACGAGATCCTTGACAGATGCAGACAACAAGTTAGTAGGAAATTACTTGCATTACCAGTAAGATTCATCTTAAATAAAAGATCATTTACCTTATTTACTTATCCCACTTAGGCTGTTGTTAATGTGGTGTATAAATGCAAGAAAAACAAAGTTGGATAAAGTTAAATGGCGTTACCTGTCTCCATGTTGTGCCGCATGACCTCACCTGAGACAAGACAATCTTAGCCTTCTTTAAGCCCGCCTCTCAGGGCATGTGATTGGATTATGTGGAGCAGCTCAGAAGGACACTGCACAAACTCATTTGGTCCAGTGGTTGACAATCGTCACTCATAGCATAAGAGTATTATATGAACAGTGGTCTTGTGGAACAAGTGCAGATCCAATTAAGTCTCACGTTGGTCTGCAGGTAAGCGCCCACTGCCTTCAGACACTAAATGAAGGGAATTTCAAAAAGATATAGCCTATATGCTTCTGTCCTCTTTGGTGGTTAAATTATCTATCATGATTAAATGGCTGCAATTAGGAGTGTTTGATCCTGAGAATTTCTTTTCATCCAAATGGTGAATGTGGTTTCGTCTTCAGGATAAACTGTAATTGATCCCCTTTGGAGCATCAAGGAGATCAGAACATCTTTCATGACACTATACTGCCATATAGTGGTCATTTAAAGACATTTCTTTTCTGTGAATTTGGTTTTTAAGTGTATAAACTAAAATTGTATTGCACTGAATTCGCCCCTAAAATGAATAATTAACTTTAATGTAGGTACATGTAAATTTCTGCTTCACCATATACATATTCCAGTTACACTTTATTTTAAGGTGTCCTTGTTCCAGTGTAAATATACATTTAAGTACTGAGTAATATTAATTAACTACATGTACTTACTATATGGTTAGGGTTATGATTAGGCTTAGGGTTACTTGCATGTAATTATGCATAATTTATTGTTATTATAATAGTAAGTACGTGTAACAAGAACACCTTAAAAAAAATGTTACCCATATTCCTAATTTCCTTTACTAGAAATGCAAAATCCAACATCTCAAACTGCATACCATAGGTAGGCCTATACATATTTGTTGCCATATGACTGAAATATATGTTTTCAGATATTACACCTGTCTGTGATAATCATATTGTAAATAATATGTTTAAAACAGAGTTAGGCAGAGCGGCCCGCCCTTGTTTAGCCAATCAGAAAGGTTCTTTGTCAGTCACTCATTTTGTCCGGCGGGCGGATTTCGGAGCGAGTGCCCCTCACTGCGGACTGTATGGCTTGGACCTCGGTCCATTTTTCATGTTCATGTGCTTGGAGGGAGTGTGGCTTGAGGAATAATTTGGTTGATATCTGGCTGATATTTTGCAAAATCGCTAAAGTCGCTTTGAACACCTTTAATACTTTTTCAAAAATCTGAAAATCCCCATTAGAGCAACTCAACGTCCGTGGAGGTTAGCATTCTCAGGAAATCACGAATCGAATAACCAATCATAATGCAGCTCTCATCCACGCCCGCCTTCAGAACCACCAATCACAGCGCAGCTCTCTTCCACGCCCCGTCTCATGAGCCAACTGCTGGTCTCTGTACTCTTATCACCGCCTTTTACACACAAAAAAGTATCCGTTCAACTTCAGCCCTCTTCAGGCGGATTTTCAAGGCGAGACCGGAAGTGCGTTCAGTGAGTGTACACGCAGAGGAAAGCAGTCAGCACTGAGGTCATCTGCTTCAAGGTGTACCTGAACCTTACCTGTGGTGATTTAGCAAGGTCTGTGTCAGATATTTTATTGAATGACTCTTTAAACAAAAATGCACGTTTGTGTGTTTTGATATGATTGTTGTGTTTATGTAACGTTACGTGAGATTATGTTGAAGCTAGCTAACGTTATTTTAGCCCGTTGAAGGGAATATGAGTTTGCTCGTAATTAAATTGCTTACTTTATAAGTTACGTAAAAACCTGCACATACAAAGCAGCTTGACAAAGTGACAGCTTCGGTGAAATTAAATTAAATTCATGTCATAGGACATGTCAGTTCACATCACACCAGCTGAGCAGCTAGCATTAGCTACGATAGCTGTAAATATGCGCTTTATAACGCTCGCTTTTCCATGGTAGATAAACAATACCCATTCCTTTAGTTAATAAACAGTTTAGTTACATACTTTCTGCAGTAAACAGCACCGGCTAGTCCTTCTTTCTATATGTATGTATTGCTAATCTCACATGTTCATCTGTCAGGCATTATTGTTTACAGGCGTGCATGGCAATAAACGAATTAATAAGTATGAACATAAAGAGACAGGGTCTGTCCTGTTCATGAGTAAATATGGTTTAAAAGCTGTTACTTTTAATGTCCCCAGTCATTCATTTTCTTGGTTTTACTTTCACCTTTGAAACCATTTTATGTCACCCACCACAACTATGTTGGCATAGCTGCAGCTTCAACATTCTTCATGACAGAGACCTCAATCATTTGTTCTTTAGTCTAAAAATCACCTTGTTCCCACACATCAGGTTTAAACAACTTCTAAACCTGTCTTTGTTTCTCAGTATAATTGGACGCTATAATCCAGACTTCTTTGTGATCTTCACAGAAGCTGATAGGATGTCTGGAGATTTGCCTCTGAATATCAACATTAAGGAACCACGATGGGACCAGGGCACGTTTATGGGCCGAGCTCAGCACTTCTTCATGGTGACGGACCCCAGAAACGTGCTGCTGTCCAGTGAGGTTTTAGAGGATGCCAGAGCTACTGTGGAGAACTACAGGTCTGTGATCCCTCTGGCCTGTTTTTAATGCTGTATCTATGAACTTCAGGGGTGAAATCCTGTACTTTAACATAATTTAGAAACTGTAGAATTACCAATCACAACTTTACTGGAGAAGTTTTAGAGTGCAATATATAGAATGGTCGTTTTCCTTTCTAAACAGACTCTTAAAACACTGTAGCATGGATTTGTGGTTTGAAACTAGGCCCTGCTAATTACATATGTGCAACCTCTTGTTTGTCTTGTCTTCATAAATAGCAGCAAGGTTTCACTTTGTTGAAAGAGGAGCTATGGTGAAATGAACATCTGTTCAAATAATAAGAGACTTTTATATAATGAAAAATTAGAATTATTTTGAACTGTGGTATAAGAGTATTTTTGTAAGAAATTAATGCTTTTATTCAGCAAGGATGCATTACATTGATACAGAAAAAGTGACAGCAGATACTTTTACTTTGTTACAAGAAATTTCTATTTCAAATAAATAGTTCTTTTAAACTTTCTATTCATCATAGAATCCTCAAAAAAGCATCACAATTTCCACAAAAATAGCAGCACAGCTGTTGTCAACATTGATAATACAAAATGTGTTGTAAAGCACCAAATCAGCATATTATGTTTTTTTAAGATCATGTGACACTGAAGACTAGAGTATTAGCTGCTGAAAATTCAGTTTTGTCATAAAAGGATTGAATTACATTTTAAAATGTATACAAATAGGAAATGGTTATTTTAAATTTAAGTTAATATTTCACAATATTATTGTTTCAATTCTTGGTGAGCATAAGAGACTTCTTTCAAAAACAAAAACAACAAAAAAATACCAATCTCAGTCTTTTGAAGTAGTATATATGTGTGTGTGTGTGTGTGTTTTACCTCCTCTGATGCCCTGTGAAGTCTTATTAATGGCTGTTTTCAAACACTCCCCCATCTTCCATTGGTCAGACAAACAGATGCCAGTCCCACCCCAAATGCCATTGGTCAGTGTTGCTGGTTATGATACTCAAACAAAAATAGCAATGTTTTGAAAGTGCCACAGAGCTTTTCAGAGGAATCAACCTACAAATGGCTTACTTGCGTCTCTCCAAATTAAGCTGGGATAGGAGAAACTATTTTAAAATCCAAAAATTACACCCTTCACCTTTAAATACTGTTTTAACTCTTCATGCTGTTGTCAGTTTATCACAGGTTCAGTCTATGTTTTCATGTATTACTGTTACTGTACTGCTGTGCCCTCTTTTACAGGTTGGGAATTTTGAAGCCTGGGCTAACAGAAGATCAGCTATGGAGGGCCAAATACATCTACGACTCTGCTTTCCACCCAGACACAGGAGAGAAAATGCTGCTAGTTGGACGCATGTCTGCACAAGTGCCCATGAACATGACCATTACGGGTTGCATGCTTACCTTTTACAGGTAAGCACACTGTCACACTGGATCACTCATTGTTCTGGACACCAAAAGGGCAGAAAGTGTATATAGACCTGTTATACATTAAAGCCAGAAAAGGAAACTGAGTAAATTTTTCCATGGCGTGGGATAAATATCCCCGCTTAGTTCTGTGAATACTTCCTAAATGAGTCATCATGGAAAAGACAGCACTCCTACTGAATAGCTTAGTTTGGTGGTTTGATTCAGGGTTAGAAGTTTGACTGTTTTATGGTGGTATTTTGTGCTCTTAAATCATTAATCAAAAGTAAAAGAATACTTCGACTAAGATTGAAAAAAGTGACTTTTCTTTTTTTTACTGGTTTTGTGGACACTTTATTTTTTTACTTGGATCAGTGAGTCATCTGCAAATGAGTCATTTTGAGCTAGACCAACATGTGACTCAAATTACAGCCTTGTGTGGGAGATTCTTATGACTGCAGCATTGTCTATGAAAGGGTTTTTAATTATAAATAGTCTTATAATATTTTTTTTTAAATATGCATTTTTCTTTTAATTTAAGTCTCTCTCTCTCTGTTATCAGGACAACCCCAGCAGTGGTGTTCTGGCAGTGGGTAAACCAGTCCTTCAACGCCATTGTCAACTACACTAACCGCAGTGGAGATGCGGCAATCACCATGAAGTATGAAGGCTAAGATCGCTACTAGAAACAATCTAGATGCAGGTTTCTATATGGAGGCCTCATGGCAGCTCTCTCTTGATGGTGTGATGTGTTTCGCCCACACTATGTTGGTATATTGCACAGTTTCGTTTCCTGAAATCTGTTGCATGAGCCAAATTGCCATGATGATACAAGTGGTGGAATCTGTTCCACTTGTACTCCATGAACTTTCATGGAGCAGAGATGCCAGTGTTTCATGATCACTACACATTCTGAATACAGGCAGATTCAGACAGCATGCTCATTTATTCATGTTTCCATTCTGATCATGTGTTTATTGGCAGTTTATTATCTAACAACATAATTGCCTGTATCATTTTTTCACTAAGCATCAGTTGCTGGATTTACAGGTTCTGCAGTGAGGCTTGTATTGTTTTAAAATTGTTTATGACACACTACTCAACATCATAGCTTTTTCTAAACCCAAGCTTTCTTGGTAAAGGAGAATTGTGCATTATGTAATATCAGTAATTATGAGCACCATGAAAAATATTAATGGTACTGATCTGTTCAGTAATACTTAACACATATATTTTATTTTAAATTTTGCAGTCAGCTTGGAGCAGCCTACGTTAGTGCTACAACTGGAGCTGTAGTAACAGCCCTTGGACTGAAGTCTCTGACCAAGGTCTGTCCTTTCACTAAACTACTCAGTATTTTATAGTTAATTACAGGGTGACTTTAAGCAAACAAAATATTTTAACATTAAGGGCCAGATTTACTAAACAGGGCAAATTAACGTTAGAGTGCAATTCCATAAAAGTGGCAATGAAATGGGGAAATTCTGCAGGTGATTTAATAACAATGTGCACATTAAAGAACACATACGCAGCCAGATCATTTCCTTAATGACCAGCAATCTACCAAGAGCAGCGCAAATTACTGCCTGCTTTAAGACATGCTTTTTTTGGGCGTTAAATAATGGTGCAAATACCAGTAATTTGATGAGCGCAAACGTTAGTAAATTGTGTTGCATGATTGATTTTAATACTCTCCTCCCATAAATTTTTCGTCTGAAAGGGAAACTCCTACAAATGCATATTCAATAAGGTCAGGCACAAAAATAACTGTCCACGCCTTTTCAGCGCAAATTTTTCACTGCGCGTCTTTAGTAAATCCTGACAGTACTATTTTAATGCCAAAAGAGGGTTTGCGCTGGCGCAAACTGTTAATAAATCTGGCCCCAAGATATAAGTTTACTACTCACTATTAGTTTCATTTATATTTTTTCTTAAATACATTACTGTTCACTACTTTTTTTTTTTTTTAGGTTTTTTAACATTAAAATAATTGATTTTAACGTCTCTTATGCTCACAATGGCTGTGTTTATTTGATCAAAATTGTGACACATTTTAAATTAAAAAAACTTTTTTTTTTTATTGTTTTAATTCATATATTCTCAGCAGCTATTACTCCAGTCAGCAAACAGCAAAAGATGTTTTAAAAAATTTAGACAGTGGTTGAATATTTTTATCTTTATTACCCTGTGCAAAAATTTGATTTACCTCTTTCTTGGCTTAAAGGAATAGTTCACCCCAAAATTATGAAAAATGTGAACTATCCCTTTAATTGTTGACTGTTGTTTTTACATCTAGAGTCTAGACAATATATGGCAGTAGTGACTTGAAATATCTTATCTTTTCTCAGCACTTGCCAGCTATTATGGGGCGTTTTGTTCCATTTGCTGCAGTGGCAGCAGCAAACTGTATCAACATACCCTTCATGAGACAAAGGTAAGTGAGAAAACTGTTTTTTAATTACTAAAATGTACATATGTTGTTGTATAATGCATTAAAAAGGGTTATTAAAGGGTATAATGTATTATAATTATTCATAATGTACATTGTAACACATTATATCTTGTCTTAAATAATTATAACTGAATTTAAAATGCATAGTGTAACAATGAATTGAAATGAAAAAGTGTTATAATGTATTAATAACTGTCGTTACAATTATTCATGAGATTGTAATGCATTATAAGGTGCATTACAAGGCATAATTAATGCATTAAAACTACTTTTATAATGCATTATACAAAAGGCTTTAAGCAAAGTGTTTTCGAATTTTTCTTCTACAGAGAGCTGAAGTGTGGCATTCCTGTTACCGATGCTGAGGGAAAACGTCTCGGAGAATCAAGTAAAGCTGCTCAGCAAGCCATCGTACAGGTGGTGGTGTCTCGTATCGGCATGGCAGTGCCAGCTATGGGTAAGCTTTTGTAGATGTTTTTCACATAAATATTTTGGAGCTCCTATATACAGTAGGGCTGGGGTTTGACACAAATTTCACGATTCGATTAGATTCTCATTCACAAGCTTTTCGATTCGATTACCGATTTGATTCAGTATCGATTATTTTGGATATATATCAGGTACAATACATGCCAAATTTTCTCAAGGAAAAAAAATCTCTCAACTAATGCTGTAAAATATAAATGAGTCAGTTGGTACTACATTACTATAATATTGAATGTTAAAATTGACTGATTTGTTAAAATTACACTTTAAAAATAATAAAATAATTTTTTTAAATAATAAAAATGACAATTAAATAATAATATTTCTACTTCAATTCATTTTTTTGAAATATAAACAATGGTGGCTGTCATAAAAACTTGATGGATTTATTCAAACATAAATTAAACATTGATAACAGTAAAATGTATAATGAATATGTTATATGGTGCACATATTTAGCAAAATGCCCCTCTCTAGAGTTTCTTTTTCTGACTAATGAGTTTATGGTCACGAAATATGTTTTTTCTGAGGTAAATGTGACGTTACATGACATTGTTTAGAAGCCGTTATATTGACATCTTTGCGTGGCTGAAACACTGATTGAGAGATTACATGAGACAGGATACGGATTGTAAAGTTGTACTCTTTCTTTTAACTTACCTTCGGATGTTTAGTCATGTTTATGTTGTGCTGAAACTGGTATTAATGTGGAGGAGATGATCAGTTCACGTGCGCCTCGCGCTGCCGCGTCTGTTGAACTGAGGCGCTACAGCGACCTGTCACTCCACATTAAACAGCGCCAAAACAGCATTTGATTTATTGTTTGAATACTGCAGTGCAATGGACAGAATTTGAAACAGCGCAAATTACTGCCTGCTTTAAGACATGCTTTTTTTGGGCGTTAAATAATGGTGCAAATACCAGTAATTTGATAAGCGCAAACGTTAGTAAATTGTGTTGCATGATTGATTTTAATACTCTCCTCCCATAAATTTTTCGTCTGAAAGGGAAACTCCTACAAATGCATATTCAATAAGGTCAGGCACAAAAATAACTGTCCACGCCTTTTCAGCGCAAATTTTTCACTGCGCGTCTTTAGTAAATCCTGACAGTACTATTTTAATGCCAAAAGAGGGTTTGCGCTGGCGCAAACTGTTAATAAATCTGGCCCCAAGATATAAGTTTACTACTCACTATTAGTTTCATTTATATTTTTTCTTAAATACATTACTGTTCACTACTTTTTTTTTTTTTTAGGTTTTTTAACATTAAAATAATTGATTTTAACGTCTCTTATGCTCACAATGGCTGTGTTTATTTGATCAAAATTGTGACACATTTTAAATTAAAAAAACTTTTTTTTTTTATTGTTTTAATTCATATATTCTCAGCAGCTATTACTCCAGTCAGCAAACAGCAAAAGATGTTTTAAAAAATTTAGACAGTGGTTGAATATTTTTATCTTTATTACCCTGTGCAAAAATTTGATTTACCTCTTTCTTGGCTTAAAGGAATAGTTCACCCCAAAATTATGAAAAATGTGAACTATCCCTTTAATTGTTGACTGTTGTTTTTACATCTAGAGTCTAGACAATATATGGCAGTAGTGACTTGAAATATCTTATCTTTTCTCAGCACTTGCCAGCTATTATGGGGCGTTTTGTTCCATTTGCTGCAGTGGCAGCAGCAAACTGTATCAACATACCCTTCATGAGACAAAGGTAAGTGAGAAAACTGTTTTTTAATTACTAAAATGTACATATGTTGTTGTATAATGCATTAAAAAGGGTTATTAAAGGGTATAATGTATTATAATTATTCATAATGTACATTGTAACACATTATATCTTGTCTTAAATAATTATAACTGAATTTAAAATGCATAGTGTAACAATGAATTGAAATGAAAAAGTGTTATAATGTATTAATAACTGTCGTTACAATTATTCATGAGATTGTAATGCATTATAAGGTGCATTACAAGGCATAATTAATGCATTAAAACTACTTTTATAATGCATTATACAAAAGGCTTTAAGCAAAGTGTTTTCGAATTTTTCTTCTACAGAGAGCTGAAGTGTGGCATTCCTGTTACCGATGCTGAGGGAAAACGTCTCGGAGAATCAAGTAAAGCTGCTCAGCAAGCCATCGTACAGGTGGTGGTGTCTCGTATCGGCATGGCAGTGCCAGCTATGGGTAAGCTTTTGTAGATGTTTTTCACATAAATATTTTGGAGCTCCTATATACAGTAGGGCTGGGGTTTGACACAAATTTCACGATTCGATTAGATTCTCATTCACAAGCTTTTCGATTCGATTACCGATTTGATTCAGTATCGATTATTTTGGATATATATCAGGTACAATACATGCCAAATTTTCTCAAGGAAAAAAAATCTCTCAACTAATGCTCGATTAATATCGAGATATCTATATTTTTTACCCAGCCCTAATATGCAGTGGCGTGAAAGGTTTTTGCCCCCTTCCTGTTTTTAAATTTTTTTGCATGCCAAGGAAAAAAAATCTCTCAACTAATGCTGTAAAATATAAATGAGTCAGTTGGTACTACATTACTATAATATTGAATGTTAAAATTGACTGATTTGTTAAAATTACACTTTAAAAATAATAAAATAATTTTTTTAAATAATAAAAATGACAATTAAATAATAATATTTCTACTTCAATTCATTTTTTTGAAATATAAACAATGGTGGCTGTCATAAAAACTTGATGGATTTATTCAAACATAAATTAAACATTGATAACAGTAAAATGTATAATGAATATGTTATATGGTGCACATATTTAGCAAAATGCCCCTCTCTAGAGTTTCTTTTTCTGACTAATGAGTTTATGGTCACGAAATATGTTTTTTCTGAGGTAAATGTGACGTTACATGACATTGTTTAGAAGCCGTTATATTGACATCTTTGCGTGGCTGAAACACTGATTGAGAGATTACATGAGACAGGATACGGATTGTAAAGTTGTACTCTTTCTTTTAACTTACCTTCGGATGTTTAGTCATGTTTATTTTGTGCTGAAACTGGTATTAATGTGGAGGAGAT